GTGCCCACATGCTACATTTTGCAGTCCTCCACCCCGAGAGAAAACTCCCGGAGTTCTTTATTCATTCACGTTATTTACACAAATAAAGTCCTGCTCAGTTTCTGTGACAAAGCCAACTAAATCTTTACGGCTCTTTCATGTATTGTCCGCTCGCCGCCCCTCTTTGTCCCCCGGCCATTGGCCTGGGCCACGGATACAATGAACCCAGGGCAGAATAGAGGCAGATTGAAGGAATGCACCTCAATAAACCTAATTATGACATGATGACTGCACTCACCATGGTAGAGCTTTTTCAAAGATCCCGGGCTTATTCAATTAGCCCTTTCCAGATCCCCTTTCACCAAATAAAGTTATCCCTTTGACTGTTTGCTTTGCAGAGTGGAATGTGTGTGTGTGTGTGTGTGTGTGTGTGTGTGTGTTTGTGTGTTTGTGTATGTGCCTGGCCAAAGATTCAAATGTGTCGGCCTGTAACAAGGCTCCTTCTGTATTATCTGCTTAATTTCACTTAACGAAGTATGGACTATAAAAGATACACTGTGAAACTGTGGAGAGCAGGGAGGAGGGGGGGGGTGATGAAGAGGGGAGGGGGTTTGTGGGGTGGATGAATGTTTTAATCATTAACTTTTTGTTTCCAGGGTTAATTGCTATGACGGTGAGAGTTAGCTGCAGTCCAGCTCCAGGCCTGGAGGGGCAGCTTAGCCGCCAATTACAGGAAGATGTGACAAAACAATTAAAGAGGGAACAGAAGATGACGGTGTGTGAACTATAATGCTACTTGTGTTTTGTTGGAAATGAATACCTTAATTAAAGTCACAGAATATATATATATATATATATTTACTGTTGTCTTCTCGTAACTTTTTAATTTATATACATATATATACATATATATATTAATTTACTGTTGTCTTCTTGTAACTTTTTAATTTAAAACAATGACAATAACTGTGTAGCTAAGACTTCAGTGAGAACTGAATCTCTTTGCTGACAAATATCAGACTATCGTGTCATTCACCGTGTTTCTAAATCCTGTCACAGTCTTAACAACAAAGTGAAACGTGTTTTAAATTGCTTTGACCTGCACTTTTCAAAGCAGAACACACTTGCAATTGGCAGTTGTTGTGGATTTTTTTTAGTCTCCACAGCGAAAACACTTAAACTAACAGAGGGAACTGTCGCATGGAGGGTTTGTTAATCAAACTAGTCATAAAGAGTTAATAAAGGAGTTAATCAGACCTTGGCCTGACTTCCCTCTGTGCGCTCCGGAGGATGGAGGCCGTGCAGATATTAGTGAACGCGCTGTGCGCCGCAGGCTGCGAGAAACAGAGGAGAGAGAGAGAGAGAGGAAGAGAGAGAGAGAATGGGAAACAGAGGGAGAGGGGCGGTGTTGTTCTCCAGATGAAAGTGAGATGAAATAAAGGAGTCGATTTAATCTGCTTGAAGAGATTTAGAGAGCAAGAGTTGGAGCTGAACGGAGGGAAAAGGGAGGAAGAGGGGAGGGCGAGTGTTCGACCGGAGCAGAGGTGCGCGCTGCGCAGGACGCGGGTGGGCGCGCCAGCCGGCCGGGAGCCCCATTGTGGAGCTGCGGCGCTGCGGGGCCTCAGTCCCGGCCTCTCCAGGGAGAGAACATTGGAGCCCTTTCACCGCGAACCCTCTTTAGTACACTCCCTGTGTCATTAGCTAAACGTGACATAGCACAGTATCGCCATCATTTAGGAGACATTATTAGTGTGAGAGGAGGGGGCGCAGCGTCAGAGGGTTAGGGACTTCAGACTGGAAATGGCACAACTGTGTTAGCCCAGCACATCTCAGTGACGCAGGGGAGGCCACTGACACCATGGCTGATTAGAAACTGTTAGCAAACCTCAGTCAGGGCTAGAAGTTTGGAAAATAGTGTCAATTCTATTTGAGGAGAAATTGACTGGTAAATTTGCGCACACTTTCCCGACGTCAAAACGTCTTTATAAAAAATATAAACAACCGCATTTACAGTCGGTACAATATTTGTTACGTATGAACATGAGCTCAAGACATTATAGTTGTAGAAACACTTTACATGTATTGTCAAATATAATACACGGATGTAGGTTTTTTTTTAAAAAAACTATGGTAATATCTTAGCTCGGAAATAATGTATTTGCAAGAGAAAACAAGTCGCAATGTAATCAAAAAGAAAAGAACTGTAATGTGATTTGTCCATTTACTAGTAAAGAAGAAATCGATGTTTCTTTTATTGAAGTGACTCAATGATTGAATGAGAATTTACCGATCGATTTATCAGTATTTAACACTACATAAACGCTTAGTAAAAGTTACCTTGTTTGTTCATATAATAAGTAAATATAACAAGTTAAATATCCGAAGTTAGTAACTTTACGACTGCATTTATAGCGAATATTTCGATAAGTTTATCGACTAAAACTATTACTCATGCCCCTAAAACTAATGAAAGGTATAATAAAAAAAAATAAAACACATTTATAGGAAAACTAAAATCACAGAATCTCCATGATTGTATTTTAAAAGCATTAATTCAACTTTTTTTTTAATTAAAAACGGAACTACAGTGACACTTCACCAGGACGACCGTCTAATAGTCGCGCGTTCACGATGCTTTCTTTTTTTTTTTTTTTCTTACAGGTTGTGTACGCGCAGGCTTTCGGGGGACGAGCGCGCATCCCTCAGCAACACGTGAATGGCTGTCAGAGGCCTCCATTGTGATTCAGAGAGGCAGCGAGTTCTTTCCAGGGCGACCCCAAGAAGAGAACATTTTGTAGGTAGAAAACCTCTGTTTTCTCCGCGCGCGCACGGACCGGGGCGCTCCCTGAATAATTCATCCTTCATTGCCGCCCTCATAATGTGTTTAGTCGGCCCTTTTTTTCTTCCCTTCCGCGGAGAAGCTCCCCTTCTCTCTCCTTCTCTTTCTCGGCCTGAATTATAAACAGGTTGCCTCCCCCCTTCCTCCTCCTGCTCCCTTTCCCTCTCCCTCTCCTCCTGCTCCTTCTTCTTCTTCTACTTTGGCCAAAGCTGTTTCCAAGCTGGGCCTTTTGTCCGCGCACAGCCCAAGCGTGAGCCCCAAATAGACTCTGGAGCCTTTGTCTCCCAAGTTCATCCGCGAGCGTCCCGTTGTGCGCGCAAGGCGTGTCTTTGTAAAGGGATGGAAACCGTTGAACAAATGTTTGATCAACTCATCTGGGGGACATTTTGTCTCCTCTTTGTCTCTCCTCCCGTGTCTTATATTGACGCGGGGACACATGTTGACACGGATGCAAACAGTTGCGAACGTGCCGGAAAAATAAGTCTTGCACGTGGAATTAAAAAGTGTGTTTGGTTTTTTAAATTATTATTATTATTATTAGTGCAACTCACGAGGTATGAGCTGTTTCTAGGTTGTGTTATAAACAACTGACAGCAGGAGTGAGAGTGACGTGTCACTGACCACCGCCACCTGTGGTTTCTGTAGGAATAATTTGACCTCGGGCTCCACAGCAGAAAGAACTTTTCCACTTCATTTAAAAGGTGCTTCAGATTTTAATTTTTCAATTGCGGGAAAAAAAAGAAAAAAAAATACCAGGCATGTTAATGTTTGGGACAATAAATGGTTCGAACACGTTGCAGAACGTTTTGGTTGGAACGAGCACAAGGTTTTGGGTATTATTTCTCACTGCACTCCAGACAAACACGGAGGGAATGCCATTCATTTAAATCACATGTGAAATCACTTCGGCTCTGAATTTTTAAAATTAGTCGACCATGGTAGTTTATATAAGCAACATTTACAAGACGAATGTCTCTGTTGCGCCGCAGTAGAACGTTTTGGACACGAGGTTCGTTTTTTGGACTGGAACGATTTGCCAAACGAACGTGGCTCCACGTCAACATTTAAAACAGATTCTCCATGACTCACAGGTTCTCCACACTTATCCGTGACAATACTATTTAACCTGTGAATTACATGTGTTCTTCGTGTCATTTAGGTTCTCCACACTTATCCGTGACAATAATATTGAAGCTGTGAATTATATATGTTCTTCATGTCATTATTTGATCAACTTATAAACCCTGTTTTCACTGTATGTTAAAGCAGAACCTTCTTGTAGAAAAGGTTACAACGTCACTCAGGTTAAAAACACACGGGTTGAATCACCAAACATATACAGAGAGTCGATATCAAATAAAGAAAACTATGCTACTAAATAACTATGCTGCTACCCACAGAAGAAGAGAGGAAGAAAGGGAGGAATTATGTCTGAACCACACGGCCTCGGCAGGTCAGGGTCAGTAGGGAGGGAGAAATGGGAGAGAGAAGCGAGGTGAGAGAGAGAGAGAGAGAGAGAGAGAGAGAAGGGAGAAGTCAAAGGAGGAGACGTTTAGTCACTGAATAAATCCTTCCGTGCTGTTTGTTCGACTTTGTGATCCATGAGAGTGAACGAGTTATGAAAATGGGCTCATAACATTCCCAACTGCTTTAACACACACACACACATATGTTCCAGCGTGTACACACACACACACACACACAGCCTTCCCCTCACTGATCCATCACCTGCTGTTTGATTTACAGTATATGGACTCGTGGGAAATGTATTAATCGGAGAGATATGGTCGATAAAGAATTCCTAACAACGTGTACACCTCTCTCTCTCTCTCTCTCTTTCTCTCTCTCTCTCTCTCTCACACACACACACCAGCAACAAGTTTACAGCCGCGCTAAAACTTCACTTTTATGATCTTGGCTCTGAGCACGTAAAATAAGTCGACTTCAGTCAACAGGTTGGAAGCTTTCTAGGAGGTTTTTTTCTCTCTCTCTCTCTCTGCCCTCAACTGTAAATGAATACACACGGCGTGTACCAATCACACGTGACCCAACCACACACACACACACTCTGTGTTTGTTTTGGGGAGTCACTCACATGTAACTGTAACTGTAAGTGGAGATAACAGCCCGAGTGGAAACGAAACAGCAGCAGCAACAAGCCGTGCAGCGGAGGTCGACTTACATCTGTCTCCCAGAATGCCCTCGATGCTGTGCTTGGCCCTGCGCTCGTTCTCCTCCAACTCCTTCTTCTCGATCTCATCCTCGTCCTCCTCGTCGTCGCCGCCTTTCACCCCGAACTTTGTCCGCATGACGCGACTGATGGAGCTCACTGAGAAACAGGGAGAGTGAAAGTTACTCATAGATATGTTTTCAAACACATTTCCATTTATAGACAGGACCGCAAATAGAGAAAAGTTTTTGACATGGGACTATTTTTTTTTTTTTTTGTAAATTCATCCGCCAGTCATTTTTGATGCAGAAAATTGTGGAAAAGGTTGCACCTTTTTTTAAGTCAAAGAGGCTGGATAAAATGAGTATTTCAAAGATTTATATGAAATATAATTAACCCTAGATTATATCAGACTTATCCATAAAGGATTACGTGTAGCTGTGATTTAAATATAAGCGTTTTTGGCCAATTTTCATATTATATCATTAATTATTATTCTGCTGCTACAATACGACTCCGACCAACTACACAACTAATATTACCACAATAATAATAATAATAATAATAATCCTTCATGTAGTTCCCTTTTTTACCTGAAGGAACGTTGTTGCGGTCACATATTCCATCCTTCAGTAATTTATCCCGAATCTCCCAGCTAAACATACCCGGGTTTTCCCGCTTGTATTCTTCGATTCTCTTCTCCACGTCCGGTGTTGTTCCCTGCTTCAGGGGGTCACAAGAGACACACTGTTTATTCACATGCTGCTGGGCCTCGAGGGCACAGTGCAAACAGTGTCTTTGTATGGATTTCTGTACAGATATCAACAGGTTTTCAACTGCATGGCTTTCATACAACAGTATTTTTTTTTTTTAAATGATAACATATATTCAAATGTGCTGTAAGTGTATTATTCGACTCTCTTGCTCCATACCTTGGGTTTGCTGCCTCCTATGGCCCCGGGTCTGATGGAGCCCGTCTCCTGGTAGCGACATAGGATTTTGGAGACGCAGCCGTGGGAGACCCGCAGCTGCCTGGAGATGACACACGGCCTTATGCCGTGGTGGGCCATCTCCACGATCTTGTGTCGGATGTGGTTGGGCAGGGGTCTGCCATTGATGAAAACTCCTCCGAGCTGGTTGACTCGCCCTTGACCCAACGGTGTCGACACTTTAGAATAGATACGAAAAATAAAAAATAAAGGAATGAAGAGGAGAAGAATTGAACTAAGATGAATTAGACAACGTGTTGATTTGATTAAAGTCAAAGATAAGTGTAACATAAAGTTAGGCCGTTCTAAAGGATAAATAACAATGTTTTTAAGTAACTGTTGAATGACCCAAAAACTGCCACTTAAAGCCAATATCCACCAGTGTAAATTTAACAATATGAACACAAAAGTAAACAGTGTACAAAAAGCTGGTAAGACGCTATTAATGTGAGGAAATAAACTGTAATTTCAAACGGGAAGTAATAAATTACAAGAATGTACAGTAACGGAAATGTCAGAGTAAAAACGAGAATACGGTAAATATGTATTTATAAAAAATAATTATACATGACATGTTTGAGTTTTTGAATATTTTAGAAAACCTATCCAGAAGATTTAATAATGTAAAATATGTTATTTTTTTAAATTGGACACAGCTTGTACTTTTTTTTACTCATAGCACAAAAACATGTAGAAAAAAAAAGTTCTTAAAAAAAGGTCCTTTCTAAGTGTGTTTTTACTCAACTTAACATCTGATTTTAAGTGAAATTCTAAATGTTTTTTTCTGTTTTTACAAAGTTTAGGTCACAAAGTGAACAAAACTGCGTAGTTGAATCGAAGCTACGGTGCTTTTTTTTTTTTTTTTGCTGCTTGATTTTACCTTCCAGTGGGAAGCCGCTGCGGGGGTAGTTCTGAGCCAGCGTGGGTCGCATCATCCTGGGAATCGACCCCGCTAACGCAGTCATACCTCCACCTCCCCGCTCACCGAACACTTATCTCCTCCTGACCGAGAGCAGGAGGCTGAGAAGATGGTGGACGCGGCTCACAACCGAGGGAGAACGTCGTTATAGTCGCCCCTGTGGCCGTGGAGCGGAGTCCTGTAGTGGAGGATTAGACACCCTTCCAGCCGAGCGAGCACCCGTGTACCGGCCCCGGGGACGGCCGCAACCGTCCTGGCGGACAAAAGTAACGTCGAAAAGTTAGCTTTCCGCGCTCCTCACAACACTTTGTTTCCCAGTTTCCTCTGTTTGAGGTCAGAATTTGAATGTCTTTAAGCTCTCGGGGGGTGTGTACCGTGGAAAATACAGTGCTGTCGCCGTTGTTGTGTGTTGACACCGGTTCAAATGAGGGGAGAACGTCAAAAGTGGCAGAGCTCTTCTCTCAGGCCGTTAGCGCTGCCGCCTCCGATTGGTCCAGCCGCTGTACCCCAGCGCTTGGCAGAGCGGCCTGATTGGCTGCAGCCGAAAACTTTGGTCCAATCGGAGACGACGTCACAGATCCCACTGGATACGACGGCGTAGATGAGAAACGGTTTTCTGTTTACTGAGAGAAAGTTCAGGTCCGTGTGTCTGCGTTTGGATTTCAATGACCCGCTGGGGCAATAAATGACGCATAATTAAAAGATGATACTGTGTAATTGTGCCGTTAATTACGTTAATTGGTGGTTAGTGTATGAACTGTATTTAATTACGTTAATTGGTGGTTAGTGTATGATTGTATTTAAACAAAGGGCAAAGGGCAACAAAGGGCAAAATTACATCCAAATAAAAAAAAATACAACCAAATTATGACAAGGAACGCAAATAACTCAACTATGTTTCATTAAGAAAATGAATCAAAATTCCAAACAATCAATAAGGAAACTCCTGGAAACGTCTTTGTTATTTTTTAAACAGTTTGTATATTGGGTCGACACCTTTGTCCCGAATAATCACTTTTGTTCCTATTACTTTAAAATTCACTTCACCACAACCTAAAGTCGTGTTGGTGGTTTCGATTACTTCTACACAACTTTATAATATTTTTAATAGTTTACTTTTTCAGGCAATTTGGAAATTTGACTGCTAAAAAAACTAAAATAAAGTTGTTGTTTTTTTGTGTGTGTTTTTTAATAACATTAAAAAGCAACTAGGTATTTAGTATGGACAGAGATACTCGTTTAGGTGAAAAAAAAATCATAACTTTTTTTAGTAACGTACATGTTGTTTTGAAGTCTGCAATTTTGATAAATCACATTTTGTCTAATTTTACTTTAACAGTGACCTGTGAAAACAATGTAATTTCATCCTTAATAAAACTTGACTTGTTGATATTTTTCGTCCGAGTTAATAAAAAATAAATTAGAGTTCCAATACTGGAATTCTTTTGTTTTTGTTTTTCATTTTAAACCCACGCATCGTCCCTGCGATCTCCTCTATGACAACAATGACACTGAAGTGTGGACACCTGAAGGAAGTCATTGTAGTTTTTCTGTGTGAGCATCAGCATCCAACCGAGAATAGAG